AGGAAGGAAGGAAAAGATGGATGGATGGTAGGAAGGACAAGATGGGAGGAAGGAAAAGATGGATGGGTGAGATGAAGAAAGGAAGGAGGAAAAGATGGAAGGAAAGGAGGAAAAGATGGATGGAAGGAAGGAAAAGATGGATGGATGGATGGATGGATGGGTGGGAGGAAAGACAAGATGGAAGGAAGGAAGGAAAAGATGGGAAGGAGGAAAAGATGGATGGAAGGAAGGAAGGAAGGAAAAGATGGATGGAAGGAAAGAAGAAAAAGATGGATGGATGGGAGGATCCTTTTCCCAAAGGATTGTGATAGCACAGTGGTTAGAATGCAGTATTGGAGGCTAATTCTGCTGACAGCCAGCAGTTCAAATCCCACCAGGCTCCAGGTGGACTCAGCCTTCCGTCCTTCCAAGGTCAGTAAAACGAGGACCCCGAGTGTTGGGAGCAACATGCGGACTCTGTAAACCGCTTAGAGAGGGCTGTAAAAGCCTTGCGAAGCAATGTATATAAGTCTGAGGGCTATCGCTATAATAATCCAACCCCTGATCCCCAAAATTCCCCCCCTGCCCTCCTCCCCTTCGGTGAACGTGTTCAAACAGAGGCTACTCAGCTGCTTGTCCGGGTTGCTTCAACCAGGATTCCTTCTCTGAGTGAGGGGTGGGCTAGATGGCCTCTGGGTTCCCTTCCAGTTTTAGTCGTGGGGAGCCACGGCTGCTAGTCCTCCGCTTAGGACCTCCATGGAGCCCAATAGTTCAGCGACTTAGCCAGGCAGCGAAGTGCATTTTTACGAGTGTCCTCGCCGCAGCTGTGAAGCGAGCCCCGGCGGCTGTTAAGTGAGGAACACACGCTGGTTGTTAAGCGGATCTGGCTTTCCGCACTGGCTTTGCTCATCCGAAATAACGGGGTACACTGCCATGGTCGTAAGTACGTTTGCGGTGGCCAAGCGCCCGGATTTTAAATCACATGAACCATTGAGGATGCAGCAATGGCTATTAAAACAGGTTTTTGGTGCCGTCGTAACTTGGAACGGTCGCTAAAACGAGGACTGGCCATAAAAGAGAAAGGGGAATATTGGCTTCTTTTTTTTTTCTCAAGAGAAAGGCCCTGGCTGGGAAATCCCCAAGTTCACCCTTAGCTGGTCACCCAAGTGCCGGAAGAGGCTGGCACAGAAGGCCCTGGCGGTGTAACTTCCACACCAAGATCTCACTTCCTGGGGGTGATTAAACAGGCTGCTCTGTTAGGGGTTTTTTCTCAGCCTCACCTCTGGCTGCGTTTGTCCTCTTCGAGATCATGGGACGTTCAGATACAGGTGAACAGC